GTGTTAGGTCAAACTCCATTCACGGCAGCAGCTGAGTCCTAACATACTGCACACTACAAACCACAATCTTGACCAATCCTCGCATCACTCCTCCTGGAGTCTACCAGAGCTAAAGCAGTCGAGTGGCGGGATTTACTACGCATAAGTTCACCGAAGATCTGGAACCTCTACCTTAAAATCAAGAAGCGAGCTCAAAGAAATCACTGGTTTATACTAGCTCGTAATCAGGATATTGGATATTGGATATTGGAAGTGTTGTGAAGATTCATACACACCGTCTACTCAACCTGTCACAGTATCAAGTAGGAGAAGGAAAAGCCGAGTGTCATCAGTGCTAAAGTCTCTTGAAAATGCAAGTATTTCGTATTTATTGTGACACAATTTCTCATTCTATGCAATTTATATTTGTTCTTCCGAGATAGTTTGTACTTTGGTATTGTGATTCATTTTGTGAGATATAAAAAATTCCTCTCTGGAGGAGATAATAAAGTAGCAGTGTTGTATCAAATGACAATTTTAAGTCGATATTTGTGATATCTGGCTCATTCGAAACGTACACACAACAGTTAGTCTAAGCCACGTAGGAAGGTGTAGACTTCCTGGTTGGGGTCTTCGGGACGGTAAAAACCAATGGTTGGAAACAATTGGTGACATGGCTCAAAATCGTTCTCAGTGGTGCAGATGCATCCACTCCTTGTGACTTATGATTTCCGATGAAACTGTTTTGTTCTTCGTTATTACTATTCCTTTATCTCACCACACCTCTGTTTACTGTCTCTCTATTATGCATTTCTCCTACTTTCTTCTCTTGCTTTGTGTGCTACAAGGAGGGAGTGTGGCGACTTGAACTGCCGCACATATGTGCAAAGTTCTATGTCGAAACGTATTTTAACACTGTGACCACTAGTCTTCATGAGATCGTCCTCATTAATTTTCTGTATGTTCACTCCTGCGAACAAATTCACTTTTTTAACTGTCCTCTGGTTTTGAAGTCCCCTTAGAAAGTTGTTCATGAAACTAAATATTTCTTTGAGCTAAAGCTGTGTTTCAAATGAAGATAATAAAGATAGAAAGCTCTTGTATTCTGTGTTAATCCTTGAAATATACATCTCTGCAGAAATCTAATTTCTCTTTGAAAGCGTTCACCGATGGAGCTGTTACTGCTGAATCAGGTAAGGAGTTGCAATTGTTGACCATTCTGTAAGAGAATCTAAATTAAATTGTACATGTATTTCTATTCGACCTAGGTCTGAGCACCTTTTTGTGGTGAAGATTGTGAATTCCTAAATCATCCTTTAATGTACGGTATGCCAAAATTAAGTCACCTCTCCTCCTCCTTCGGTATGATAATGGTAAGAGATTTAAATGCTCCATCCTCTTATCATAAGGAAGGTTTGAGGTACCACTAATTAATTTAGTTTCTACCCTCTGTACTATTTCTAGGATATGTGCCCCCTTTTTGAAGCATGAAATCACCGCTTGTATGCAGTATTCCAGTTGAGGCCTGACATACATTGCATAGGGTACTTAGAACAAAGACTCGTCTAATCGTTTGAAAGCCCTTCAAAGTACTCATAGCATCCTAGTCTTAGCTGTGGCTCGATTACAGTTTGCCGTTGTTTTTAAGTCATGGCTTACAATAATTCCTAAGTCGTTTCGCCCCTTAACATCTGGCAGTTCTTTGTTCCCCAGAGGGTACGATGTGTGGCCAAGTTAAACTTTAAGCACTACTAACTGCCACTGGAGTGCAACCGCAGCAATGCCCTTGAAACGCTCACTGAGCAAGTTAGTGGAACCTGGCAAGTAATGTTGTCATCATTAATAAAACATATGCTCATTAATGGGGGTGTTAGGTTATTAAATGTGATACCTGGCGAGTTTCAGCTTAGGTTTGGGAAAGATTAGGTTACAGTTTAGGCCAAGAACAAGTTAGGGTTGGGTTAACCTATCAAAGGTGTCGTTAGGGTTAGTTTGGGCATTTTTTCACGTTAGGGCTGGGTTTAGGAAAGATTAAGGTTGTTGTTTGGGTTAGAAGACCTAAATAATTACATGGATAGAATGTGGTTAAACTACTCTGTTGATATAAGAATAGAACTTGTGCACTGTGGTGGTAGATTATAATTCCATTGTGGGTAAAATTTATTCTGATAAAGTCTCACAGTGTTATACAGTAACATTTACTGATGACCACGTTTCGAGGACAATTTATTGCTCAGTAAATATTACTGTATTATACTGTGAGACTTTATCAAAATAAATTTTACTCACAGTAGATTTATATTGTTGATACTCCAACCTAAAACTGAGAGCTATTTTTATCACATGTGAGAGGAAGCTATCCTGTCAAACACTTTTCCACAGTTTTTATGCATTATTTTCGTAATAAATATATGTATTCCATGCACAAAAATGCCCCTTTCACGTGATTGCTGCGTTCGAGGTCATTCGCTCATTGATAGTTGGTGGTGCTTAAAGTTTAACTTTTCCCGATGTGTAAAAGCTCTGACCTAGGTGTGCATTGCCGCACTTTTCTTGGAATTAATTTCCAGCTAATTTATCCAAATCGTTCCGTAATGCCAACCTGCCATCGTTATTATTTACAGCTTTCCACATCCCTTAGTATCGTCCGCAAATAATAAAGACGTAAGAATTTTCGGTAATTCACTTAATATGAATAGCAGGAGGCCAAGTACAGTCCCCGTGAGGTACTCCAGTTAGTACTGCTTCCCACCCCCCGGACAGTATACCACTAACTCTCTTGCCTTCTGCTTTCTATCCCTCAGGTAGTCCGCAAACTACTGACATAGGCGTGTTGGTTTAATCAAAAAAACATTTTAGTTTACTGAGGAGACCTAAATGAGATACCTTATCAAATGCTTTACTAAGATCGGTGAAGACAACATCTAATAGATGGTTGTTATCCCTGGCTTAGATGCGATCTTCCCTAGCTAACAGTAGGTTTATCCGACAGGATCGTCCTGGCCGGAACCCATATAGTTCCGCCTCCAGTAAGTCATGTTTCTGCATATGAGCTAAGAGTTGACTCCTTATGATTGTTTCTGATTATTATTATTATTGTTTCCTTTAATTCCTAGAGAAACATAGGGCTTCAGCCGTTTGTCTCCATTGCGTTCAGTTCTCTGCTAACGTTTTCACCTGGCTCCAAGTCTGCCCACACGCTTTCATCTCCTCTTCACATGACCTCCTCACCCAAGTCACCCTCACGCTGACAACCAACTCGCCGCTTCCCTTTCGGGTTCCACTCGAGCAATGGCTTGTCTAGTGATGTCAGTTGATGGTTTCCTCAGAGTATGGCCAACCAATCCATCTCCATTTCTTCCTGCCTATTTGTTTCACAATCGGTTCCTGCTGAGTTGGTTCGCTCCCAGAGATCTGTTGCTGATCTTTTCTGGCCGGCCGGCCATCTGATCTTGAGTGGTATTGAGCGAAGACAACTAGCTGTTGATAAAGGTCTGTAGTTTGTTTGAGGTGCTGTTTATGACGCGCTGGCCAAGTCTCTGATCCGTATTGCAAGTAGCACTGACTGACTTCACATTGGAGTTGAAAATCCGGATCTCATTTTCATTTTCATGCTGAGTGCTGTCTGTTGACTTCCACACAGACTTGAGAGAAATGAAAGCTTGTCTTGCTTTCCCGATCCTCGCTGCTTTGATATCCTCGTCAGTTGCGTCGGCCTGTAGTTGAAACGATGCTTCCCAGCTAGGTAGGTAGGTGAAGGAGGTTGTTTCTTTCAGGTTCCTCCCATTTATGCTGGCTGATTATTGTCTGTTGTTGTTATTGTTTTTGGTGTTGTTTCCCAGGAATCTTCATCACCTCTGTTTTCTCTATGTTCACCTGAAGTCTCTCCTACCTTTAATGCTTCTTTTATTGTTTCTGATACTTTTGCTATAATGCAGGTCAGACTTACAGGCTGGTTGGTAGTTAGATTCTAACTACTGCTTGTTCACCTCTTTCAGGATGTAAATATGTTCCTGTTTACTTGTACGTTAAATGTCCCTATGCTTAATTTAATAGGTTGTATTTATATTATCATAATAATAATACATATATATATATCGTATAAACGGTTAAGTTTACATGAAATGCGTGTCATTTTTACAGGCACGATCAATTATGTTACGAATTACAATTGTGAATTAGCATACATTATCACTTTTTAAAAAAGTTCAAATTGTTGAATTATATAGTACAAGCAATCGGAACAGATTCTTATAGTTGTTAATTTGTAAATCTTTCACGAAGGTCTCCATCGAAGTTGAGCGAGACAACCCAAACTTCGTTCCATTTCCTGATGATGATAGTAATGGCTCATCGATAAACAACATATATTCGAGTGAGTACTCTGACCCCACGTGCTTGAACGCTATTTCAGGAAGAGGAGAAAATCCTGCACAGCTACAAAGTGGTATAAAATGCAATCATGAATAATACATTATTGGAAGTATATTTACAAGAAAAATACAAGAATAAGCTATACAGTACTTGATATGATAGTGCACACTTGCAATGTATGATGCTAACCATATTGGTCTTACCATAGAAAACTATGACTTTTTCTATGAAAATATAGTTATTCTGAAACATGAGTGTTGTTGTTATGTTTTTTATCATCAGAGCAACCGAACTTTATGCGAGAGAAGAGTGTGAATGAGAAAAAAGCAAAAAAAAAGTAAATTTCAGCTTTACTAAAGGCCTAGGAAGTTGAAATAAAATAGAGTACACTAGTAATTAGATAGAAGGATTGTCGTGAAGTATATAAGTGACATTTCAGATAGAAGTGGCTTGAAGGATTAGAACCTGTTGGATATGGTGACCTGGAAGATGTCTGGCGAACTTGTGTATGGCTCATGGGGTAGCATCTTGACAAGAAACTGAGCAGGCTTGTAGATGTTAGGAGTGAAAGCATTATTTTTTTTTATATGTATATATTCATACTCTCAACTTTGCCGTTATATTTTTCACTGTTTTTCATATATCAGAAAGATGGCCTTCTCTCTCAGCCTCGTTTGTCGATGTCACTGCCTCCATCTTTGAAATCTTGGCTTATAGATGATTGGGATTTGATTACTCGTCAAGCTCGGGTAAGTAATCTTCAGTTGCGTTATATCATCCAGTCAGCAAAGCAATTTGCAATTTTTGAGCGTTGGTCGAAATTTGTTAATTTAGTGATCAATTTAGTCATTTAGATGTTACAGTATGTATCTAGGCTCACCTTGGTTCCGGGTGATCAGGAATGTTCTCATCTTGAGTGTTGGTTGGCTAGCCACCGTTGAATCTTGACGGGTTGAAAATCTCAATGAACCTTAGTCGACAGTGCATTGCGACCCTCCCTTTCATCGTTCAGAGAATTCAACGATGTATCGAAATTCCATTATTATGTGTTATTATTTGAACAAAGCAAGAACTACAGTGGTTTCTGCAGAATAAAGTGAGTGGTACCATCATTGTTTATTTCGTCGCCTTCTCGTCAACTGCTTACAGGCCAAAAACATTAATTAAATATATATATACAAAAACAATTTTAACATACTTGCACAGAGTTCATTTTAAACGAAAAGCAATCAATCGATCAATCTATGCATACAGTAATAATATATACATGTGTATGTGGAATATCAAACACAATTCCGAACAATAATAATCATACACAATGAAAACTTTTCAGCATCTCGCATTCGGATAAAAAATATCCAGTTACCGGGACAAAGAAAGACTGATAACCGCTTCTTTCTGAAAGTACAAGTCAGGTTTCAGGTGCTTGATGGAAATGGCTTCAGCTTGATTATAAAGGTGAAAAGATTGCAGCGATGATCAACAGAAGGCTGAGCACATCACTAGCCAGAGCCTATCCTGCAGCTAATCTCGTCCTCGTCTATCGAACAACTTGCTCTTTGGTGGAATCAAAAATCGATAGATATCCTTCTCATATTAACAACTCCAACTGTATATACAAATTTACATGTATCTGCGGGAGCAGTTACATTAGAAGGACAGAAAGAAGAAGGGCATATCTACGATTTTTTGAACATGTACCAAAAAGCTTATGTCTACAGCTGGGAACAAATGCTTCAAACAGTGCTATCGACAGACATCTCCTTGACATGGGTCAGTCATGAGGTGGACGTCGAAAAGTCGTTCAAAATTATCAATAGACAAAAGAGCTCAATTCTCCACAAGTTTGCTGAAGCCATTTCCATCAGGCACCTGAAACCTGATTTATGCGTTCAGAAAGACGCGGTTATCAGTCTTTCTTTGCCCTGCCTGGTAACTAGATATTTTCATCTCTCTCTTTCACCTGAATGCATAATGCTGAAAAGTTTCCATTGTGTATGATCACTATTGTTCGGAATAGTGTTTAATATTACATATATATATATATGTTATTACTGTGTGCATATATTGATCGATTGATTGAATTTTGTTCAAAATGAACTCTGTGCAAGTATGTTAAAATTGTTTTTGTAGATATATTTAATCAATGGACGTTTGACCATCACAATCATATCTTTCTGGAATTTATTTCTGGCTGTCACCTAACTATACAGTCAAATAATCTGTCTGTCTGTCTGTTTTCGACATAGAACCACTTTGCACCGATGTGCAGCAGTGCAAGTTGCCACACACTCCCTCCACTCCATGTAGTACACAGAGCAAGAGAAGAAAGTAGAAGAAATGCATAATAGAGAGAGAGACAGTAAACAGAGGTGTGGTGAGACAAAGGAATATTAATAACGAAGAACAATGTAGTTTCATTGGAAATCATAAGTCACAAGGATTGGATGCATCTGTCTGCGCCAGGCATTGAGAACGATTTTGAGCCGGCCATATCACCAATTGTTTCCAGCCTTCATTGGCTTTTACCGTCCCGAGGAACCCAACCAGTCAGGAAGCCAGTCTACACCTTCCTACGTGGCTGGCTGCCTGGCTTAAACTGATCGTTGTGGATTTCTTCATTGACTGATGAAGCCATGTTTTGGTTTGACCGCCGCTAGCTCACTCTTTCCCAACCTGACCCTATGTCAGCCAGCTAACATTGCCCGTTGTCGAGGAAGGCGATGACCAGGCATGCATGCGTAACACATGTCCTAACTACCTCACTCAGTCGATGCAATTTCACAGCCTCATTGTCGATTGATTTCCCCTCCTCCCTTACCTAGCACTCGACCGACGCCTAACCTCAATATTGCTCACCTTATTATACCACTTCACTCGGGAGATAGAACGCAGGCACCTATGATCGAAGTTACTACTGTTTCTTTCTTTCTTTTTTATCACGTCTGTGTTCTGTTAACTTTACCATTCTCTGCTTTCTTAAAACGTGTAACATGGTGAGAGTGGCTCTTTTAGAAATGGAACAAAAAGGGGAACATAGACAACTGCAGCAAAAAAAATACTCACCTGTTGCTTCCACTTTATGAAACATACCTTGCACCCTAAGTCTTTGAGGAACGTGATGTCATGGTTCCGTATCAAATGCCTTTGTGTATAAAAAGGGTTATGAGCATCACTACAATGCACACTCTTTGTCCAGGTAACATCAATATTGGTAAATTGTCATTCCTGCGTGAATTTTTCTTTCAGTTTGCTGGAGGTCTTTGGGCGAAGTCGTACTGGTGGGGAACAGGGGTGTAACAGCAGTGAGGTGTTTCCTTCAGATGACCAGCAAGGCAGCCACCTATGCTGTCTCTCCACTCTGGAGAGAGGGGGTTAAAAAAGATTGACCCCAAAAATTGTACATCCCAACTTACCCGACCTACGGTGGTCCGTAACCGGCGGTAAGTTTACTAATACGGAACCAAATCAAGAAATCAGTTGTGTCCCCTGGGCTCTGCGGTCACGCAAAACTAAACGTCTCTCTGTTTCAGGTACCCGAAGAATCAATCAACTTCCACAGTGGTGTGGGCAGCCGGAAAGTAACAACCGCCCACACACACTTCCAAAAGCACACGAAGCCTTCCTGATTTACTTTCGTATTGATTCAGTGGAATGAGTTCTCAATACCCCTAGTTAAAACTTATTGTCCTCAGCGTATTTTGTTCTTTTCTGTGATAAATTGTCTTCTCACTACTATTGTAGTGTAAATCTCACTTCATATTATAGAGACAAAGGTTTGTTTTTTATGTGACTGGCGGTAATAATATCTTCCATGCATATCTCTGGTATTTGCATTGAGTCATTTCTGTTGTATGTGTTCTGTTGGGTATAGACTCAATGGACCAGGCAGGATGCAGTAATCAATCTCTCTCTCTCTCCACCTACATAGATTACTTCTTAGAATTTCAACCCTCTCCCACCATGCTATTGTGTGGTTGTATGTTAATGCATGCAGTGCAATGTAGTGCTGAGTGCTTTTTTTCTAAATTACTTATCTTCTCGGGTGGGGTCCACCATTCTTACCTTAGGTAAATTCTTATGTTCCGACAATCCGACTACTCCCGACCTACTAGTTTGACCTATGTAAGTAGTTGACGTAACTCACAGTCATTGCAGGGTATTTTGTAAATTATATTATTTTGTCTAATTGGGTCAACCGACAGGGTCCTACAGAGCCTACAGACGTTGTTCTACCCGAGTTAATCAGTTTGTAGGTTTGAATGCCACTACTCTAATTCCTGCTTTATAAAGAATCCTACGTGGGGAGTATCTCAGATGTCCCCTCCCTATATGGTATAACTGCTGTAGATGACTTATATTCACTCTTATTTATATTATCATTACTAGTTTCAGAATTATTTTTATTTTGCTCTTGGCCTTTTTCTATCTTCCTAATGAAATTTATAATTTATTTGACACCAACGCCTCTTCTTCTGTCTGTTTTATTTCATCATTTAGGCCTTTTCTTGTGTTACTTAGTGCTATTGCTCGGTTTGTTAAACACGTAACTTAACTAAGCCTGCCTTAACAGACAGATAACGGACAGATGAGATGAATTAAAGTCTGAATATCTATTAGCAGAATGCGTTAGCTTTTTAAAAACGCTAGTGTGCAGTTTACCTTCTTCTATTCGTTTTATTTTACAATCTAACATCACAGCTAATTCTCCTTGTTTATTTACCGATTCAGATGCGAATTTTATTCCCTCTACTAGTGAGTTTATATGTGTCAAGAAGCTAGAGGTTTTTCCTTTCTGAATTATTTTTTCTTCGGTTAAATTTTCTCAGCTTTATGAACTGCCTGCTTCTCAGCCAATATGTAATGTTTTATCAGATTTCTTAGAAGCTTCTGAGGCTGAAATCGCTAAGTCGGAATCAACTTGTGAAGCAAAAGAAGACTGCACTTCTTCTGAACCTGAGAACTCTCAGCTAAATACTACTAAGTTGGCAATAAACCCGGGTGTAAGGCGTGAATTTGTTGCCGGAATTCAGCATTTTTTCAATCTTACTATTGGTTCTCATCTTTTATACAAATTTGAACGACTACAATATGCTGAGCTATTGAAACATCATACAGATAAGAGAATGTCAGATATTTATGGTTCAATCCACTTGTTGAGGTTGTTTGGTAAGTATAATGTTCCCTTTGATATATGTGTAAAACTTGTGCACTGTGGTGGTGGTAGTAAGTGATTCCATATTAGCTTTTTATTTGATGGATGTATCACACGGTGAGTGAAACAGTATTAGTATTTACTGGATGACACAGTTTCGAACACAATTAATTATTTTGGTTCATAATCATACACATCACCAATTATAATCACACGACTTCAAAACTTGAGTTTGATAGTTTTCTTTGTTCTCTCCCATTTGTCGTCGTCTTTGGGGTAGTAGAATTTTCCAGATATCTGGCTGGACAGGTGTTGAATCATTCCTATTACATGTATTTGCCCCCCACCCCCAAATGTGTGGTGGAGGTATGTAGACGACACTCATTCACTGTACTTAGAACACAGGATGCAGATAGATTTTTCGAACACATTATAACTCAAAGGTGGAGGCAATTCAATTCACTTATGATGAATTGGAAAGTCAGGAAGTGGGGGAGCTTCCAATGTTAGATTGTAGCGTAAAAAGGAAAGAAGATTGGAAGTTAAACACACTAGTGTGTTTATAGGAAACCCGCACATTCAAACCGATATTTG